TATGAACTCAACTCATTTGTGCAGAAGTGACTGGTGTTTTCAAGGGGGAGGGTGAGAGCAGGGAGGTGGTAGTTAGCAGGGAGGGCGGGTGCCTAAGCAGAGTAAGGAAGTGAAAAATTACTAAAATTGGGTTAGAGAGTTGGTCAGTGTCAATGTGATTAGGTCATCTGTGTCAAAGTGGGGCTTTATCCTCCCACAGGGATTGAGAAGCAGGCAACCTACCCTTCCTGATGATTGTATTTCAAAGGAATGGCTTTCAGTCCTTGAGAAAGACACTCCTGGGTTGTAGGAGATACACATACATCCTACAGGGATGGAGAATGGATTTATAATAAGCTTTTAATAAATACTCTAAGAGAATCAGGGGCCTCTCCTCAAGCATTGGCTGGAACAAATGCTAAATTCTTTCCACATGCTAAGGTTTTCCAGACAGAAACTCAACTAGGGTGGGGTGGGTGGGGTGCAAGGTAGGGGTAGGGTGGGCTGTCCCAGGGACAAGGCCTACTGGAATCCATGCTAACTTTTGCTCAAGTCTCTTAGTGCAGTTTGGATGGAATCATTCAGGCAAAGTTTTTGCAGTTTTCCACATCGTGGGGCAGGGACAAATTATCCATCTGTGTGTCTGCATACAGAACCTCTGACCCACAGAATCCGTGGGCACAGTAAAGTGGTGGTTGCTCTTGCACCGCTAAGGTTGGGGGAAGCTCGGGATGCAGCAGTAGTAACTGGAACATTGCAGTTCATCTCCTCTGGCAGGAGTGGCCCCCAGCCCCCTGCCTCTGACCAGTGTAAACAAACAGCTGGAGAGAGTGCCTTGGGTGGATTGCTCATCCCATCCTTAGGGTCACGGACTGAAGGACACTCAGCAATTGGCTGCTATGGGTTGAAACTGGACCAGTACCGCTGTTTTACTTGGCATCCTGCCCACAATTGGCTCTGGGATAGTGTATGGTGAGGGGGTGAGGGGTGGAGGGGAGAAAGCCAGTCAGCTGCGATCGGGGCTTTATTAACTGCCATGAAAATTGGATTAGCATGTAAGAGCTTGGTGGGGGGGGGGAGGGAGGTTTGCAGTGAGAAACTGTGTAGCAGGGGAGGGACAGAGAGGGATGTCCAGGGGGATTTTCATAGTGGCCAGATTGTAAGAAAATCATCATGTTACAGATGATCAGATCTGACTTCAGAGAGCACTGGATCTGGCCTTAACCATTTCCACCAAAGAGCCCCAAGTCAGGGGAGAGACCCAGGGGCCTGACTGAAGTGGCGCCCCACAATTGAGGACGTGCCCTTCGAGTTTCCTATTTTATTTTATTTATATATATTTTTAATTTATTTATTCATAGAGACACACACACACACACACACACACAGAGGCAGAGACACAGGCAGAGGGAGAAGCAGGCTCCATGCAGGGAGCCTGACGTGGGACTCGATCCTGGGTCTCCAGGATCACACTCCAGGCTGCAGGTGGCGCTAAAACGCTGTGCCACCGGGGCTGCCCCTCCTATTTTATTTTAAAGATTTATACTTCAAACACTACAATTTGTACTTTATTTTTTAAAAAAATTCCTCTCTTCTCCCAATCTTGCATCAGATCAGTAGTTCAGAAGCTGCATCATGTTTTTCCTATGGTTTGAACAGCCTGGACTTAGTCCAATGGCCTTGCTGCCCAAGCAGACCTGTCCACTTGACCATGTCGGGCATGGCATTAAGAACTGGGGAGAGAATGACGAATGAGAAGTGACTCTTACCATCAGGGAGCTGATCACACATTGGGAGACAGAGATGTAAGCGAATGATTGCCCAAGACTTGCCCAAAGTCCACAACTTGGTGGTGGTGCGACAGAGACCGACATCCAGGTCTGCTCCCAGTATGGTCTGTTTGCTTCCCAGCATACTGCCTCTCCTTCAAACGCTGGGAAGATCCCAGAAAGGGGATGCACATCAGACATTAGTAAAGTGGAAATGTTGGGCTCCTTAGTTTTCAGCCCCTGGATCCTGTGTGAGAGGGTAGTTCACAGGACACCCGAATATGTTCCCAAATACCATTCCTGAAAGTTGCTTGAATGTCTTGAGTGCCTATAATTAGTTGTTGATTACTCGCTATGATGGTTAGTGTAGCTCTCTGTGTTGGTTCTGAATAGATTACCAGAATGATCTTTCACCTGTCAGTTGCTAGGAGAACTCCATGTGCCTTGCCAGCTCCTTTACTTGGCATCAGCACATTTTTATTGAACACATACTATGTGCTAGACAGTGAGCTAAGTTCCAGGAACAGAAATAACAAACAATATCTTCCTTCTCTTCAAAGGGCTGAGTCTGGAGGAGTGGCGTGTTGGTAAAAGAATTCTAAGCAGGTCCGTGGCAGCCTGGAATTAAGAATATAGTTAGTGGTAGTTTAAGAGTTAGTTTTCCCTGGATCTGTTCCTACCTGTCCTAAGTGAATTCCAGACCCTGCAAATTCCCGATGGTTTGGGAGCAACAGGAGAATGTCTGATGTGGACTAATTCTCTTAATGATTTACCCCTACACCTCAGTGTTTTCCTGTCCTGCCCCAGCCTCCAGAGGCACCGTCACAGCTGGCATTTGGGCAGGAGACCCCTCCAGCTGGCTCATGCCTGCTTCTTTGGGAATCCCTTGTTATGACCTTGGCCCCAAGCACCCTAGACCATCATTGCAGAGGCTGCAGGCACTGTCACTGAGGACCCCTAGTCCTGGAAATAAGCCCACGAAGTTGGAGCTGGAGGTGTGCTAGGCTGTACCAGTAAAGGAGGGAGGCTGGGCTTGTCCAGTGAAGGCACGGGCAATGCTTGGTTGGGGAACGAGCACAGAGGCAGGACCACTCTCTCATTTACCTCTGGTCTTGTTTTCTACTACTCCTGCCATGTCTGTTTGTGATCTTAAAAAAAATCATACCCTCATTTAGCGTTTATGGAAAAGGAACCTTTTTATTTATTTATTTATTATTGTTTGTTTGTTTGTTTATTTATTTATTTGAAACTTTTTAGATAATGCCTTCTGTGTCCCCCCCACCATCACGTCTCTTTCCTTCATGCTACTCTTACCTCTCTCCCATAGAAGCAAGAGGCCTCAGGGTTGGTAGTATTGAGATACCCTTTTGGAACTGTTGTGATGCCCTTGTCAAGAGCTCTTCCCAGTGCAGGAGGGAATGGTGAACATTTAATGGCCATGGATGGTTTTAATGGGTTAATGGGTTGAGTGATCCATCTCTCTCTCTCTCTCTCTCTCTCTCTCTCTCTTTCTTCCTCTCTCTCCCTGACTTCCATCCTTCTTGAGCCTGAAACCTGCAGATGTAGAGAAGAATAGGAAAACTCATTTCCCTCTGCATCCAAAGTATGCTCTCCAGGCCAGCCTTACCTTTAGTAAAGCTGCTGTTTCGATCTGGCTGATTATGTGTATTCTGTTTGTGTAGGACCCTCAGCTGGAGGAGGAGGATTTTTCCAAATCCCCAATATGTCATTTTTCAATTTTACTTGCATTTGGTTTATTGCCCGTGGCTCTAGGGTCAAACGCCTGAGCCCCCAGGGGCTGATTCGAGCCTCTTTTGGATCTATGCTCGCTACCCTTTGTCCCCTCCAACATTAAGATGCTTTTTCAAGCAGGTGTGCTTTGAATCCTGATAAAAATGTTTTCCTCTTTAGAGGTTTCCTGACCCACCTCATCAGTCCTTTTGTGAGTTCTGAATTTTAGGGTGAGCTCGGTTTTACTTAAGCCAGAAATGCTGCTGCTCACTCCAGGGTGATAATTGTTCGAGTACAGTTTTTCAACTTCAAACCTTTGACATTCTGAACCAGATACTTCTTTGTTGGGGGAGGGGCTGTCATGTAGTATGTTTAGCAGCATCCTTGGCCCTACTCACTAAATTCCTATAGCACTCCCTTCCCTCCTTCCCACCTTACAAGTTGTGAAAACCAAAAATGTTTCTGGATATTGTCAAGTGTTTCCTGGGGACAAAAAAATCATTCCTGATTAAGGACTGTTGTTCTAGAGAAAAATGGACAAAGTGAAAGAGGAGCAGAAAAGTGTCTCAGTCTTTCTGGCAGGGTTAGTGTAGGCTTCTCGGGGAAACGGCATTTGAGCTGAATTTTGTGGGATAAGAATTTCCTAGTCATCACAAAAAGAAGAGTCCTTTTTTTTTTATAAAGATTTTATTTATTTACTCATGAGACACACACACACACACACACAGAGAGAGAGAGAGAGAGAGAGAGAGAGAGAGGCAGAGACACAGGCAGAGGGAGAAGCAGACGCCATGCAGGGAGCCCGACGCGGGACTCGATCCGGGGGCTCCAGAATCATGCCCTGGACCGAAGGCAGTGCTAAACCGCTGAGCCACCCGGGCTGCCCAAAAGAGTTTTTAAGGTACAAACAAGGAGGTATTCATAGCCCTCTGTGATGTTTTCTTGACCAAAAAATGATTCCTACCATTCCTATGCCTTCAAACATTCTAGGGATAGCCCACAGATGCCTGGCTCTTGCCAGCCTCATTTTTACTCATTCCACCTGAGTCAATTCCTGACCCTATGTCCAAATTCTACCTTTGCTGGTCACATTTGCTATGCTCTATACCATTTTGGAAAAAGGATTGGATTTCCAGAGCAAGATCCTCTAGAGGTGGGTTACTTTCTCTTAAACATTATGCCTACATGTTGGATAGATTGAGAGAGTAGGTTGTGCTGTGAGCTGCAAGTCTGAATACACTAAACCTGGTATCGAGGAGAATTTGACCTCACTTCAGATCATTATATGGTAGGTTGTGTCCATTGTGTAATCATTCACTAGAAGAGACCTACGTTGCCCCTCATCTGGGATGTGATTCATCTGGTGGAATAATGCTCTAGGAGCAGAATAGGAGGGAATCTGCACACAGTGTAGGAGGAAGAAATTGGTATCCTCCTCCTCCAGTTGCTAAATTCCAGGGTAACACTGGTGGGTGGTGGGAGTCTCACAGCAGGAATAAATGAATTACATGGAAACACCAATGAGTTCAGCCATTTATTAATGCCACGCAATGGCAGGCTATGAATACAATCTGGTTTTAAATACTGAGGTACCCACCAAGGTACCCCTTAAGGAGGCTTGGCCTTGCAAAGCAGTGCTGCACAGAGATGTAGGGATAGCAAATAGGTTGGGCCATATACATCATACAACCACTTTGGAGGACAATAATAGGTTGAACTATGTTTTTTTTAAATGACATAACTTAAAATAATAATTAATACGAATAATAATATTTGAATTAGCAATGCAACAAAACAGGAGTAGCATCCAAAATGTTGGCTAAGTTACAGCACCAGGCAGTTCATGTCATGTGGTCTCTCCCCTGAAAGTGAATCGCTGTGTAGTGAGCACCAGATACACTGTTCCAGGACTTTATCTTAAAGTTAGTGGAAGAAGAGCTAAGACCTGCAATCTCTGCGGTGGTAATGTGTAGCTTTTAGAGTCTGAAGAATTTTAGCCAACTGATTGGGAAATTATGATACAATACAAATCTCTCAAATTGGTTTCAGAAACTTGAGGAAAGTTATCAAAAACATTCACTAAATATCTGAAAGCACCACACTGGGATGATTGCACCAAGAAAACCCATCATAAAACAAGTCATTCCCACGAAGAGGCAATTGTCATATCCACAAAATGATTGTTTAGAAAAGTATTCACGGGTCTCTTGAAATATTGTTTTCTCATGGTGCATTATGTTTTAACGTTCAAGAATTAAATTAGCCCACCACTTTTCAGAGTACAGTGAACTCTACCATGTGAAAGGCAATGTAAACCAAAGTGGGCTCAAGAACCTTGCTGGATTTAAGCACCAGACACTGTGTGGCTTCTCTGGTTCATGGGAGATGTGTATCCAGTGTGTCTTGCTACACTTTTCACTTGCTTGTTCAAGGTGGGAAGAAAAGAAGACAAGTATTAAACAAACCAGTGATGCAGCTCTGTGCTGTCCCTCATGAGTATCAAAGGAATGGAGAAGACAGCATGTAAGTTCTTGTCTTCAGAGCCTCCCCTCTCCGATTGCAAGCACAGGGACCTGTCAAAACCCTGATGATCCAAAGCTGAGTGACTGTCAAGGTAACAACTGTGTCAGATGACTAACAGCAAGGGCTATTTCTATCCTGGAGACCAGAATGATGGATGCCACACAGCTATCCCACAACACAGCCTCCAAATAGGAAGCGAACGTGTGCATGATCAGGGGCTAACTTCCTGTCTTTGAGAAACTAGAGAAAGGCCTAGAATAGAGTATCTGGCCAGACCCCTCCCCACATGTCTATCATCCTCTCCACCATGTAGGTCATAAATAACATGGCCCATTTTGTGAATTGGGAAATCTGGCCTTGTTGAGTTTGCTGAGGTCAGTAGAGATCTGGGTTTGTTCCTGAGTTTTGAAAGACTAGTCATATCCAGGTCCCTGATGACACGCAGAAGCCCATGATAGCTAGTACAGTACCAGGTGAAGTAACTCAGCCCAGATGACTAAATTCAGCGCCCTGAAAGTCCACACTCTACTTGCAGGATAGTCTGTGAAAAAAAAATCAGTATATCCTCCACTCACGTCACTAACAATTTAAGTCTCTTCTCTCTAAAATGGTTATTTCACCAGAGAGTGTCACCAGCCAGCAATGTTTGCATTTAAAGACAGAGAACACAGGAATGTCATTATCAAGAAATAAACCCCCTGGCTTTAGGTAAACATATCTGTTTTCATCCTGTTTTTCTTCTTAAGTTCCCTCCCAGCCCCAGTGTTTTATTTTCCACAGGAATTTATCAGAATAATTACACATTAATGGCTTGAAAAATAAAAGCACATCAAAAACAATTTTAAGCTTCTGGTATCCAAGCAGTAAAACCGGCATTGGCCAGCAACACCATTACACATCTAACAGCTGTAGATGGACTTGCCCACTCGTACAAGTATCTATAGGTTTATACTCGTCCTGCCACCATCTAGATATTAGCACCGTTTTTCAATAGCACCATTCTGCTGAAGGGGTAGGTAATTCAAGGGAGCTGCGGGACACTGTGCTCCTGGTGAGTAGTAACTGTGCTGGGCCTGCGCATGAGTCTAATATGCTGCTCCTTACGTGAAGGCCACATCCCTGTCTTCCCCCCTGTCAAGAGCTGGTTCTGAAGACTTCTTCCCCTTGAGGCCCACCCACCCACCCATCCTTGCTGTCTGGGTTCAGTTTATGTAGATGCCTCCCCTTAGAAACTAGGATATTTGCCTTGTATTTGAGACCACAGCTTCCCGATAGGTGGTGAGAACATCAAGAACAAGCATTTGCATGTTCATTTTACTGTTTTGGACTCTCCTGACTTACCTGCTCCCCCCTCAAAAGTAACTATTGGGAGTACTGGGGAGTAGGTCATGTTTATCTCACTTTTGAGGTTTTTTTTTTTTTCCTCAAGACTAGAAGTTTGTATCAAGTTCTTGTACTTAATGAATTTTACCTGGTTCTCTGAAATATTTAAATCTTGAGCTCCATTCCCATCCTAGGGGTAGGTGGGGGTGTATTGTAGCCACGGACCTGGCTATGGCAGCTGTTTGTGTAAACGCCCAGCAGTGGAAAGACAGTTGGGCCTCTGAGTTGATGACTCAGGCAGGGAACATGCTGGAGAGGAAAAGTCAGACAGGAAGACTCATCTGCTCTTCTCCAAAGGAAAGGTATTTGGCAGGAAACTGGGAAGAATAAAGGTTCATGTTTCTTTTCTTATACCAGAAGAAACTGATTTCTATTCATTTCCTCTTTAAGAGTTTTTCATGGAAATTATCCTTGAGTCATAAATGTCTTCCATGTAATTAAGCTAAATTCCTTACCTTTACTAAATCCTACAGCCTCTGATGATTTCCTCTTATTCTCGTGTCTCTAAGCAGGCACAGGAATCTAAACAGCCCAGATACCGCACCTATAGGGACTGAGTGATATAGCCAGCACTCTCTCTCCCTGCCCCAGTTGAGTACTGGCTGAAGAAAGTGGCCCTCTGCCTGGGGGAATTAAAGGAATGTTCCTGAAAGCTCTCCCATGACATTGACATATGAAACAGCAGCTTCCCCAAGTAGGGAGGGAAAAAAAGGATGATTTCACAAAGGTAAATGGATACAATGATTTGTTCCCTGGATACATGTGGTTCTATTTCCTGATACTCCTGAAGCAGTCTGGGAAAAATCTGGTGCCTTTGTTTTTATTTTTAAGGGGGAAAAGACATCATGTCACTGACTTAACCTAATTTGGCACCTTTCCCCAGGAGCCCATCCCAGGAGATGCCTGATCCTCCTGGATATCTCACCTGCCTATCAAGGAGCAGCAGGCACTTCAGTCCCATGCCTTTTGCAAGGGCATTTTGTGACTAAAAAACACAGTGAATTTTGTTTGCAGCCAAAGTTGGCCCCAAAAAACCTCAGTGAAGTGGTCCCTGGGGTAGAACGTGGGAGAGTCAGTCAGTGGGCTGCTGCATTCCGTGGTGCGGGGTGACTTCCTTCAGACTTAGAATCCTTTGGGGTTTTTGAGCGACTGTGGCTTTCTTGGCCTTCGGGTGAGGACGATGCGTGTCTGGGAACAGGAGAGGCAGCACTGAGCCCTCACAGTGGGCACAGAGCATTTCTTCATGGATTTTAGTGTTTGGCAGAAACTGGCTGATAAGTTGTCCTTGGTGCAAAGTAAATCTGTGGAAGGAGAGAAGAATAAGAAACACCAAACAAAAAACAAAGATTATCTTTTGTAAGTGAATGAGCACAATCTCTATTAATGGAAGATGTTATATGTCTCCCAAGGAAGCCTTCATAATAGTTCATAGTAGCTGACATCCACTGAACATTGATTATGTATCAGACACTGTGCAAAGTACTTGTGCTAAACTGAATTAGCGGTCACAACTCTTCACTCCTGTGTCACAGTGGTATATATGTCCCCACCCTTGCCATGGCTGCCTGGTGGGTAGTGAACACTTCTCTACTGCTTGACTTTGGCTTCAGCTTAATACTTGCTCTGGACAATGTGATATTAGTAAACATGATCCCTATGGGGCCTTGGGAGATGCAGGAGGATGAGCCGGCCCCGATGAGCTTCTGCTGTCATCATGAGAAGGACCTGGTTCATGCAGCTAGTGGGCCACAGAGGATGGGAGACACATGGAGTGAACCTAGACTAAACTTACAGCTGGCAGCCAAAGGCCAACCAAGGCCAAGCCAGATTAGCTGAACCTTAGCTGACCTGCAGGCGCTGAGCAAAATCCCCATGGTTATAGTTTTGAGGCCTTTAGTTTAGAGGTGTTTGGTTCTGCAGTATTGTCATGTGATAGTTGAATGCAATGTTTCACATGCATTGCTCCACTTAATCTTCCCAGCAGCACCATCAGGTAACTATGAGCCTTTCTTTCCATTATACAAATGAGGACTGTAAAGCCTACAGAAGTTAAAAATCTGCACAATGTTACCCAGCTGGTAAGTGGCATCGCCAGAGCTAAACAGAAATAGTTTTGGCTCTAAAGCTTACGATTTTATCAATCATATCATTCAAAGCACCAAACAATATAACCCAGCTAGCCAACTAACCAATGTATTCTGAGCAGAGCTCAGCCGAGCAAAAGATTCAGATGCATAAAATGTGATCACTGCCCTCCAGGAATGTACCATGTAGGTGAAAGCATAAAGATCCACAGGTAATTCCACAGTAAGCATACAGTTAGCTACCTGGCTTCTAACCCTTGTTCTACTCTGACAGCTCTAAGCAGGTAAGTCCCTCGTGTTTTTTTCCTTTGGCCCTGATTTCCTTATACGTGATGCAGGGAGTTTCTCAGGGGCCACCAACACCCACATTCTAGGGGTGGTACTCAGACTGGACTGGTTCACGTACTCCTGGCCTGGAAGAAATTCAACAAGGTCCCAAAGAGCTGATTTTTCTTCTATACAGTGAAATGGTTTCAAATTTTGCCCGAGTGCCTCTCAGAGCTCTCCGGTTGCCTTTCTTTCTTCTTTACAGAGAAGATTTGAATAATTTTGAAGAAAACCTTCTTCACAAACAGGCTGCTGTCCTTTGTAAATAGGACTGTCAGTAAAAGTAGAAATTGAGGTAATATTCCCTTTGTGCAAAAACTGTGATAGTATTTTTTCCTCTTTATGCTTTTGTTCCCCTTCAGGTCATGAAGGAAAAAAAAAACCAAAAGCAAAAAAAAAAAACAAAAAAAAACCTTTTTATCTCCCCATGGCTCATCATTCCCTTGACTGCATCTTGTTTTTTGTTTTGTTTTATTTTGTGAAGAAATAAATGTCTTCTGCTAGCTATCAGAATTCTATTTTGTTTGCATGTTTTAATGGCACTTGGGAATCGGTAACACACAATGTTCCCCAAACCCCAACAGCCTTCACTGCTGATTCTTTTCTTCTTCGGGCCTCTTCTTAAGCCTATTATAAAATTCAATCTCTCCTAAAATCCCACAGGAAATTTTCTTGGGTGCTCTGTTTCAGAAGGAGTACATGTTTCAGCCAAAGATTCCTATCATGGAGTAGAAATTTGGGCTCTTCATCTCCCATAGCTCCACCAGAGTGGTCGGTATCCTCCGTGGGGTCTGGACCATGCATCATGTGTGCTGCTGTTCAGAACAAGGCAAGGATTCCTTTCTAGGCTGCTGGCTTTGGAATAGATCTGCTCCAGTTTCTTGGCCAGCATCTCCTGAAGCCCTTGTGGATGGTGGCTGGAAGAGGTGCATCTGGCATGGCTCTCTGTCCCATGTCCTCTCTGCCACGAGTATGTGAGTGCTCTGGGGCTACTTCAGGAAAGGAAGGAGGGAGGAAGTGTGAAAGCTCAGTTTGCATCCCATATCTTCACGAAGCTTCTTTCGGCCATGCTGGCCCACATGGATCCCTTCTGTCTCAGGCTCTTAACTTGCATTATTACTGTAATATTTGCTCAAACATGGTGCTATGTTCTATCTTGAACTGCTCTGTAAGTGGTAATGTGAGCCTTTTCTGCTAAGGCTTGAGTATGATCTCTCACGGGTGTCTACCATCCTAAAAAGGGCTTCTTCCTAGATACTTCCAAAGCCCTAACCTGTTGTGGGCTGAACTGCATCCTCCAAAGTTTAAGTGTCCCCAATCACTGGTACATGCAAATGATTGGGAGCCCCAATCACTGGTACATGCAAATGGGACCTTATATGGAAATATTTCTTTGAAGGTGTAATAATGATATAAATTAAAATGAGGTCCTACCAGAATAGGGTGGGCCCTTAATCCAACATGACTAGTGTCTTTATGAGAAGAGGAGGAGAGACAAGTACACACAGTGAAGAGAAAACCATGGAAGACACTGACATCAGAAGGAAACTGGCCATGTGATGACAGAGGCAGAGACTGAAGTTACTCAGCTACAAGCCAAGGAAAACCAGGGATTGTTAGCAACCACCAGAAGCTAAGACAGAGAGCATGGCCCTGTCATGACTTTGATTTTGAACTTCTGGCCTCCAGAACTGTGAGAATAACATTACTGTTGTTTTAAGTTATTTATCTCTTGGTAGTCTGTTATGGTAGCCCTGGGAAGGTAATGCACCTCTTCCCCTATGACAGTGATAACAACAGAAATACAACATATTAAGCCCTTACCACATACCAGGCAATGCACTTCATATACACTATCTCATTTGATCCACGTAGAAATGTACTTGTAGGTATAGCTATTCTTTTAAAAACTGAGGGTTCCAGAAAGGCTTAGTAATTGGCCCAGCATCACATAGCTGGTATGTAGATGGTGGCTGGGATTTGAACGTTGCTTCAGTGCCTCTAAAACTCTGCCACCAAGGGAATGAAGCTCTTGTACTGGTTACTGAGGGTCACAAGAGACAGATCTTCCTTGAAGAGAACATCTTCCTTTGCTCAACACACAGCCCTCAATTGTCAGGTTAGGTTGACACCTATGGGGCAGACAGAGGCTCAAAGACGCCTGGTGTTCTTGCCTGGTCTTGGGAACCATGAGATCATGAACCCTGCTTTTCAAGGGTCCTTGGACCCCGGCGAGCATGCTGGGTCCTGAGGTCCTCCTGTTTGAGGACTTGTAGGAAGAGCAGAGGATAGTGGTGGCCTAAATTGGGAGCTTGTGTTCCAGGCCTGTGTTTAGCAGCTCATTTAGACGATGACCATGAGCCCAACGTTGTGGCATGGCTTAACTGCATAGTTCTCTTTATTAGTATAAAACAATGAAGGCTTGTTGTGTTCATCAGCAGACTGGATCCCAGCCGAAGCCCACATAATGCTTATAATTAGGGGCGACTTGGAGAGGAGATCCCAATTTGTCTCTGCCGGTTCAACAGAAATCAAACTTAGAAATTTAAAGGGACAGTTATAAGCTTGTTTCTTTGTTGTCAGCTGTGTTTAGGTTGAAAGGGTAATATTTTTCCCACAAAAGAAAGTTGAACAACAATTTCAGTATTGCTGACAAATACAGTTTCTCTAAGAGTTTGGGTTCCTCGAGGCCAGGGGCTGTATCGCACTCATTTCTGTATCCTCAGCTTTCAGCACTTGTCTGAGACATATCTTGTGATCCCTTATATTTGTTGAATAAATGAAAACCTGAAATCTTATTTATCTGGAAGAAGATTTCTGAGTAGAGAGTTTGCTGACTCAAATGTTCATTTGTACCAACTCTGGTTCTAGGTACTGTCTTTATTACTCTCCTTATTCTTTTTCTTGCCTTCTCTACCCTTTATTCCTTAAATGAAAACAAAACAGAACAGAATAACCCAGGAATGGTGTGCATGAGTTTTACCTTTGTTTTTTAATCATGATGAATGCAATGCCTAGAATATACTGATACTCAGTAAGTATTTCTGAAAATATTTTTTTAACCTACTTAGGGTTTTACAGTCTACTACAGAAATGGTAGCTCTGATTTAGAATTTAAATCATTAGTAATTTAGTTGGCATCTAAAGGAAGTAAAATGGCCCAGAGGAAAGCAAACTTGACGTGGAATTCATATCTGATCTTATGAGAGGGACACAGGGCATATGTTAACTGTGATGGCTGGATGGCTGACAAGATCCAGACACTGAATGATTTATTTTCAAAGCATTTTAGAGGGCACAGGCGTAAGGGTGGCTGGTCAGTTTTTAAAACCAAGGAATTTCTTGAAGCTGCTCTTCATGTTGTTTCTATATGAGTAAGCATGGCTTTGCCTTCAAGAGAAGCTAGTAATTAACTTTTGTTGCCCTGATAATTGTGAGTGAGTGCAATTCATTGCTATTTACATCCATTGCCAGCCAACTGTTAGTCATCATCTTCTCAGTTGTGAGATTTCAAGATAAAAAATGTCATTTAACCTGGTTTTGATTATTGAAGATTGCACTGTCCAGCACAGTTAGGACCACCTACGTAGAATTTAAAAATAACAGCCCATAGCACTGGACATGGTCAACCAAGACTATATTGCTGCTTCAGTTATAAAAAAATCAACACAACATAGATGGGTTCTATAGCCTTAACATTTTAAAAAATGTGGTTATCGTAGAAGGTGATGACATGACATGAAAGTAAGAGGGTCTCAAATTGGCTTCTTGATCTAGAACAGGAGGCTTCTCAAATACCCAAGTCACCTGGGGATCGCATTCAGATGCAGATTCTGATTCAGTAGGTCTAGGATGAGGCTGAGATTCTACATTTCTAATAAGCTCCCAGGTGATGCCAAGGCAGCCAGTCCAGGTGCCACTACTACTTTGAGTAGCTAGAGTCCAGAAAACTAAAAATTAATCACAATTCTGAAAATGAGCCCTAGGTAGTAGCTTTTTTTGAGTTTTTTTTGTGTGTGTGTGTGTGTGTGTGTGTGTGTTTTGAGTTTCATGTAAGGTCAACAATAGCCATTCTCAAATGCAATTTGGTCAAGAAAGAAGTTGCACATAACAATCACATCTAAAGCATCTTCTCCCTCAGTGTATTGCATTCAGAATTTCCAGCTTAGCTCACCCGCCTAGCCTCCCCATCCATGTACAAAACCAATCACAGGACATTCCTACCTAAATGATTCATAGGCCCATCAACAAACATGTCCCAAACAGAACTCACTTCCCTTCTTCATTCCTAAACCCACTCCTGGGCGTCCTGTCTCAGTGAACTGTAGCCTTCTCTACTCAGCTGCCCAAGTCAGAAATCTGGGCTCATCTTCCCTCCTCTTCCCTCAGGAACAGAGTCTTGCCAAGTCTCCCTGTCTGATAGCTCTTGAATCCACTTCCTTCTCCGTATCTGTGCACCTACCACCCTAGCTGATATCACATCGTCTCTGGCTTGGGGGACAGCTGCAGTCTCCAAAGTGGGCTCCCTTGTCTGTCTTCCACGTGGCAGCCAGCATGACTTTCTCATGTTCACACCCCTATCTGGAATACTTCAATGCTCCTTCTGCACTGGGAACAAAGTCCAAACTCCTCGGCATGCATCCCAAGCTCCAGCTTTCCCCTCCAGCCCTACCATTCCTAACTCCCCATGACCTTCATACATGAGTTGGACTCCTGTGCCATGACCTTGTATCCTTCCTGAATATTGCAGAAATGGAAAGCCTGTCCAGGAACCTCCTGCTTGAGCCATCTACTCATCCTTCATTTCCTCTGCAGGCCTTCCCTGCTCTCTCCAGTTTATGGTCAATGCCCTTTCCAAGAGCTGTTGTAACATCCTTCCCTCCCTCGTCAGTGTCACTGGGTTGCAGCTTTGTTCCTTGTTTGACCTTATGTTTACATGTAGTCAGTCAGTGCCCAGCAAGTATCTGCTGATTAAGTGCATGACTTGTCAACAAGCAACCTCTAGGGAAAGTCTTCTCAGGGTGTGAACTCTGTTGGCAGTCTCCGTTGAATGCCAGCCCTCTCAGTTCTTGGAAGGAGGTGAGGAAGAGAGTAATAGACCTCTACCTCTCATCTTTAAGAATCTTCAGAAAAAGGCTACCACCTGTACCACCAGCATGTTGGTTTTTCAAGAGTTTTTCGTATAGCTGATGATGTCTACTAGTTGGTTCTTTAATTGGGGCAGAGTAAATTCAGCCTGACCCTCTAAATCCCAATTTGGGGACTATATCTACAAGAGGCATTCTCCACGTTGTAACAGATGTAAGTCAACTATCAAAAAATTCTCTCTCCCTGCCTGAAAACCTTCTCTCTCTTTTTAATTTTAAAAACTCACATGTCAATGAGGCCCCAAATAGCAGTGGAATGGACATTAGAATTCATGCTTCAACCTATTCATAAACAGATAAGACAACCGTAGTCTACTGAAATGAAGTAAGTTGCCCAAAGAAGGTAACTGAACTGGTTTGTTGACAGATATTTTTTTTTCTTTTCAAATGCACTTAATACCCGCTATTTAAAATCTTCACAACAACTTTTGCAGGTTTGTGTTATTATTCTCCTTATCTCCAAAAGGAGAAAGGCTCAGAGCATTAAATAACTTGCCAAGGTCACATAGATAGAAAGAGGCTGCTGCGGGATACACACGCATTGCTGTCTGATTCCAAAGCTGGATTCCTTCCACCCCCGAGGAAGGGCATGTGAGGGGAAAGAGACTGGCTTGGCACTCTGGCTCTGCAATCAGCCCACCCTGTATTCATGAACAGGCCACTTAACCTTTCCAGGCTGTACAGTACAACGCACTTAAAATGGTGAAGGTGACCATAGATCATTCAAATTAGGATGCTTCCTGAAGGTGGAAGTTGAATGTAGCAGACAGCAGTCATGTTCCTCTGTTCAAGTCTCCCTCCTTAGATTTGCTGGTCCATTTTCAGGTGTCACCCCCACCCCCTCATCCCTCTAAGTCCCACCATCCCTATTCTTTAGCCTCTAATGCTCAGAGACCCTGGCCCTTTTGGAGAACTGCCCACACAGCCTACTGGAGCTGGCTTGTCTGTCCATGTAGAGAGCTTTTAGCACCTGCAAATTCACTTCCCCTGGGGTAGCCCTTGACAGGCGGCTAAAAAGTGTGGGAGTGTGGGAGTGTGGAAGTCAAGCCCCCAGGCCTCAGGAGCGGATGGCTCTGACACAGAACTTACAGCCCGGAGCTCTCCTGTGGGAGCAGACTGAAGCAGCAGCCTGGCGGTGCCTTTGCTCTCTTCTGTCTTGTTTCTCCTATTCCCTTTTCTTTGGGAGCATTTCTGAAATGAATCCCTTGCACACAAATTTGCACTTCAGAGCTATTTCTGTGGAACCTGATCTAAGACAGTGGTGGTGCTGCATTGATAGAGAAGGTTGTTCATTACTTGATTGGTTTCCTGAGAAAGTCTGGAGCATCTCTCAGAAGTCTTTGAAAAAGCAGAAGTGATTCTCATCTGCATAGGATGACATCAGTGTGAATGTGCTTTGAGATAGGAAAATGGATGAGATAATCCTTCAAGGAATTATTGTCAAACCTCTCCAAATTGATAGCTTGCTTTGAGTGGAGCTGGCTGGCCTCTTCCACATCAAGATCCCTGGCTCAAAAAAGGGACTAAAACTATCCACAATCAACTCATGCAGGACACCTTATGTATGAAAAGCCCTCTCCCCACCGGGCAATTTCATTCACCCACCAGGACTCTTCTCGCAGGCCTGCTGGCCGCATTTTTGGAATTCTGGAGGTCTGGGTTCGTGATCACACCGGCATCTGTCTTCAGTTGCATTGTCCTCTGAGGAGACACAATGAACAGTCCTCTTCTGAAAGCCACCTCCACAGGAAACAGTGCACTGAAAGAGAGGGGTGCATGGAGAGTCACAAATCTTCCCCAGGACCGCCACAGGAACTCCAGCAGAGCATCTCTAATGTCACTGTGGGAAAGTCTCGATTATCAGAAATCATTTTGAAGGAGTCCAAGAAGAAAGCACTAGTAATTTGGAGATGTGAATTCAGGAGGAGTCGATATACTGACTGTTGAATTTGGCTGGATGTTGAAGTTGGCTTAATTTACTATTGGGCTCTCTGAAGAATGTGGACAAAGGTTGAATACAAGCAAAATAGAACAAAATTTCGTATCTAGGCCCTGGTGCCTCAGAAATCCAGTTTCTCTGAACTAGTTTTGATTTGGGGCTAAAATCAGACGTGAGGAAAGAGAAACAGGAAAGGAAAACCATGGAAGAATGGAGAGAGAATTTGGAAGGGGCCCAGCTCGACTACGTGCAGCCTCAAGCCACATAGATAGATTACACTGCAATGTCCTGAAGTGGCTTCTGGGAAGCAGAAGGGAAGTTCTCTGGCCTGTGAAAGCAGTTTATGATTCCTGAGGATGTAAGAACATGTATCTGAATTTACCACATATACTCTTTAAAAAATTCTTTTAATTGTGTCTATTTATAAAACATAAAATTCACCATTTTAACCATTTTTAAGTATACCATCCACAGCCTTAAGCGCATTCTCACTGTCGTGCAATCATCACCTCTATCCATCTCTAGAACTCTTTTCATATTTCCAAATTGAAACTCTGTACCCATCAAATAAGAGTGCCCCATCTCCCACCTACCCACCCCTACCTCCTAGCAACCACCATTATATTTTTTGTCTCTATGAATTTGACTCTTGCAGATACCTCATATAAGTGGAATCATACAATATTTGTCCTTTGGCCCTTGTGTGTTCAATTAGCATAATGTCTTCAAGGTTCCTCCTCATTATAGCATGCACCAGAAATTCTTTTAAGGTGCAATAATATTCCATTGTACGTTTATACCACACTTCATTTATCCATTCATCTGCCGATGGATACTTGGGTTGCTTCCATATTTCGGCTATTGTGGACAGCAGATGCTCTAATGATTAACATCTATTTCATGTTTTATTACTTTTAGTTTTATCTTTCTTATATAATAAAAATCTCCCAGAGGGCAGAAACCAGTAAGAAATAGCTACTGAGATGATCCTGAATAAATAAAAGTGCGCAACAGAGGAGGGTGGCAAGAACAAAGGAACTTAATCAAGCCAGAATTTGATAAAGAGTACTGGACCAAGATTCCAGAGATGGGCTTTTCCACTTACTGCATATTGTCCTAGATCATTCACTCAACCTCTCTCTTTTTCTGTAAAATAAGGTTGTTAGATAATGAACAAATGATTTCCTTTCCTGCTTTCTGCTTCTAAGGGTCTAATGATCCTGGATGTTGAAGTCCTTCTACTACTCTTGGGCAGGGAAGATTAAGATGAAAGAACTAATTCCAAGCCAAGCACAAAAATAAGCAGAGAAGTCACTGCTCCTGCATTTATTAGTCAATTAAAATGACTCGTGATAAAAAGAAATAAGTAAATAAATAAAATGACTTGTGATAAAGAAGATGCATGAATTTGTGTTGTAGTTAATTGGAGGATTAAGTAGGAAGCACAGTTGCTGACTTGGGTTTCGTTAACAGTAGTAATACTGTGAGTTTGGGGTTTGTTAATGCTCAGTTTCACTTCTTTGGAACCAGCAATAATAAGGAATCTTTGTGCAGAATTGAACTCCCCCAAACAGAAATGGGGCTGATAACCTCCCAGCTAAGGTGCTAAGATTACTGAGCAACTGAATTGATCATACCTTAAGCTGAGCTCCACACTAGTCTCATTCAGTCCTGGATGCCCTGTCGAGAGCCCAAGGGTTCTCTTCAGTGGGACGCTATAAAACTCTGTTGTTGCTACCACTCAACCAACATGGATGGAATAGAGAAGTATGAAGAGGTGGAACCATTAGATGTTTTAGAGCTAATGCAAGCATCTTCAGTGAATAATTTTCTTGGACTTACTATTGATATATGGTAGCACAGTTCTAAGTGCACAGGAGATATCCTTGAGTTCAATCCTGGTAACAACCATGTAGAGTCAGATTTTTTTTCTGCTTTTGCTGATGTAGAACAGGTCCTCCTCTCTCCTGACTTTCCTTTTTCTTATAGCATTTAATGGGCGTGGGAGACTCACATTCTCCAAATCTGGAAAATTTTCTTCTATCAATTCTTTGCCTCATTTCTTTTTTTAAAGTTTTTTATTTATTTATTAATGACAGAGAGAGAGAGAGAGAGAGAGAGAGAGAGAGAGAGAGAGAGAGAGAAGCAGCAGAGACACAGGCAGAGGGAGAAACAGGCTCCATGCAGGGAGCCTGATATGGGACTCGATACCAGTTCTCCAGGATCAGGCCCTGGGCTGCAGGTGGCGCTAAATTGCTAAGCCACCCGGGCTGCCCTGACTGCCTCATTTCTATTCCATCTCCATTCTCTTTTTCTGGAATCTTATTTCGATGTTGTATCTCCTAGTCTGATCCTCTACTTACCTTTTATCATAAATTCTTTTTGCCTTTGTTCTCCTTTTCTTGAGAGATTTCTCCACATTATTTTCCCAATCCTACTTATTTTTTTACTTTTGCTATTATAAAAACTCTTAGGTTCTTCTTATATTCTTTTTATATAGCTGCACTAGGAAGCTATGTCATGGATACTATATAGTCTCTTGTTTCTCTGAAGAGATTACTCATAGTTTTTTGGGGAGGGTGAGTTTGATGTTTCTTTCAAGGTCTATTCCTTGGAGTTTCTTTTGTTCTGTTTGTTATTTTGTCCCTGGTGTGATAGATTTTCTCGAATGTCCAGCAATCCTAGGCTATTGACTTAAGATGACATACCTATGAGCTGACTGGAAGTTCCATGGAGGGCAGTTCCTGAGAGATGGCTTTGTATAAGGTGGTCAGGAAGAGATCTATTGTGGGGTTTTTTTTCTCTTGAGACTAATCCAGTCTCCCTGCCTTTGTGGAACTCTGTTGGGGAAAGGAGGACACTATTTACTGCATATATTTTCACTTGATCTTTGGTGAGATGAGCTCCTTTGTCCCCACCAACTATGACTGATTCCAAGGTCTCTCTTGATTTACCTCTCCAATGAGAAGACCTTCAGGGTCTTCTCAGGATGTCGGATATACCTAAAGATCCAAAAGCCTCTCTTACAAACTTTCAACCAACTCCCATTCCTCCCCACCCTCACTGCTGCCTCAGGGGTACTTGGGAAATTTCTGCTATGGACAGTTTTTAGCTTTCTCGGACATGCTAAGTCAATTCTAAGTTTTGCTCTCTGCTTCTAGCTTCTAAAATTGTATTGACTCCTTCTCTGGTATTGTCTCCTATCCTCTTGTCTTTGTGGATTTGTGGCACTTTTACTTTTTTATGTCTTCTGTTTAATGCAGTTTGGGGAACAGAGGCAAATGTATATGTTCAATCTATCCACATGTGTTACTTGATCTCTATAATTTGCCTTTTTTCACTTAATGATAGGTGTTGGAGGTCAAGAGCAATTCCAAAGGCTGGCCTGGTAGGTGTTAGCCGCCTTTCATGCCCCCTATTCTTTGATATGCACAATCAATGAATTTTTGACGCATGGCTCTTCCAAGGAAACTTTAACTCATGTCTACCTCCAAGAGGCAGTTACCACCCCCTCTCTCTCTCTAATGAAATTTTGAACTTCTGTTGTTAGAAATTTTTGCAACTCATAAATATAGTTCTACCTCATTCTTAAAAGGGCTATACTATAATAAATTAATAGATTGACCAGTTCTATCCATCTAAAATTTAGGTTATTTTTAGAAATTGCTATTACAAACAACATGACAATGAACATCTTTATCATTATCTAGGATTACGTTTGATGGTATACTTGTGGGCTAAATTATTACAGGTAGAACTGCTGGGTCAATCTATGTATTTTAAGTTTTTCATTGATTTTAATGCTTTCTGTTCTAACTCCAGACATGACTATAACTGAAAAAATGTGCTGGAAATCAAAGAACAAAAACCACACAAAACCTCATTTTATAACACCTAAGTGCTGTAATGAAAAGCAGATTACATTTTTATAGGCAAAGGGGGCTGTTTTTGACAATTGCTGACTTCTCTAAAAGCAGGATATGCCTCACACATCATTACCGTAATATTTGCTGGGCTATCATTATCTTTCTTGCCAGAGAGAGTATTATCCAGCTTTCCTTTACAATGAATAATAAGGTACTAGAGCCTCGGGGAAATGATAGACTTAAAAGGTCCATCTGTAGTTATTAATCTTCTGTGGGATTTTGAGTTCCTGAACGGACCCAAATTTATAACATTTTCATGATAGCTCATGTGGTGTCAATTATTCTCTTCTAATGGTCACATGCTTATATTATTATCCAGGATTTCAGAGTATTTTTGAAGAGCCTAATCCTGAAACATACTTTTATTTGTTGGGTATAGTCTTTTCAGGTTCTGAAATCAATGACGGATGAAGAAACTTGGTTTTGGAGTAACTAAATTTCTAGTGAACAGAAAATAAAGTCATTTGCTAAGGGAGATATTGTAAGATGCCCAAATAGAAAGTGATTAAATTACATTTACTTAGAAAAAAATAGAATTGCACATGACATTTTCCATTGTTCACGCGACCCATGGGGACAGGGTGAAAGCTCAGTGCTAGCCCTAGTAGACAGTTTAGCAGGATGCATAAACAAAAGCTTGGCCTGACACTAGTATCCCCTTTGGTGATCATCATGAATCAGCATTAGATGCCAATGAAAAAAGGGAATTCACAGAAAATACTATGTGCTCTATCTAATGAAGTGGCTGGCATCATTCTTCTTTGTCTATTGGGCATTTTCCTAAGCTATGAAATTTTTTTTATTTTTTGCAGGCTAAATGATTAATGTACAATGTTCGTTTAGCAATAGTGAATCATCTTGTTCTTCCTGGATTCGAGTGGGTAATAACTGGAGGCCAGCACAACCTTGAGTTGGATGTAGCAGCAGAAGCTTTTTTCAAGAGTACATGCCAGTATGTGAATTGATCATGGCTGTGCAGGAGCAGCTACACCACCATGAACAAGGAGAATCACTAAGGATATAGCAGCTTAAAAATATCTGGGGCCATTATGTTTGGTAAAGTACTGCATTGGCCTGCATTATAACTATCAAAATATACAAGAACAAGCTACTTTAAAAAATATTCGTAGTTGTTGAGGAATTTGTATATGAGTTGAGACTCCCAGCTATTGGCCTATGATCTGCCCCAGCTGGGGTGGTAGCCAGCTTCATGAAAGCACAACCCACTGGCCTGAACCTTCCATGTCCATGCTGTGTGCCTCTTGCTTCTAACTCTGGGCTTTTCTTATTGAGGCATGAGACACAGTGGGGCCTGCCCAATGCTCACGCAGATGAATAAACCAGGACAACAGGATTTATAACATATTAGCCAACTGTAAGGAGACTTTTTACCCAATCCTAAGAGATGGGAACCAGTAGATCATCTCCTCCCTTCCTGCCCCTGGATAAATGACCCTAAGAAACAGTAGTTCATGAAGCTTTTATAAGGTCTTCTTTTGAGAGTGAGCAACTAGCTGTTCCTGAGTTAGGACAAGTGGTCAGTCTGGTAACATACCAACCTCATAGTTGATTCCCCTCCTTCCTATTTCCTTCCTCTTTCCTATCACCCCTACCTCCTCGGCCTTGTATTTCCTAATACAGTATTAGATTTGGCCTTAAGACTACTTTCTAGAGAACCCAGGATATGACAAATCAGAGTAATGGTACAATCTGTCTATGGGAGAATTTTGTTTGTTTTCAGTGTTACTGATACAGTTCTTTATATAATAAGGAAACTCTGTGAGAACAATAAATCTTTCCCTCATTACAGCTTAATTTTTTGTTTGTCTCTCCATCAAACAGGCTGGCCATCTGGCAAAATGATCTGCAGGTTGATAAGATCTGAAACTCACAAAATCAGGCTACGCCTCAAGCTGCAGGGCATTTCAACTTCTGTTTGCTTCAGGAAAAGCCACAGAATCCAAGGTGTTGGGATACAAAATTGCCTTTCTTTGGGCTTTGTGCCTCTAGGATAATATTGGTATTTGATCCGTTTTCTTTTGAAAGTACTTGGACTTTTCTCTTCTGAGCTCGACAATAAACATTGACCACAGATTAGCTAAGGATCAACTTTTAGCAGACTTAGAGGTATTAATGGCAGAAGAGTACTAGAATTAAAATATATAGAAACACTCTGTAAGTCAATGGGTGTGCTTACAATTAATATATATTACCTTTGGTAATAGAAATCAAAAGATACAAATCAAAACCACAATGAGATACCACTTTACACCAGTGAGAATGGCTAAAATTAACAAGACAGGAAACAACAAATGTTGGCGAGGATGTAGAGAAAGGGGACCCCTCTTGCACTGTTGGTGGGAAGGCAAGCTGGTGCAGCCACTCTGGAAAACAGTGTGGAGGTTCCTCAAGAAGTTAAAAATAGAGCTACCCTATGACCCAGCAATTCCACTATTGGGTATTTACCCCAAAGATATAGAGGTAGTGAAACGATGGGATACCTATACCCCCACTGTTCACAGCAGCAATGTCCATAATAACCAAACTGTGGAAGGAGCTGAGATGTCCTTTGACAGATGAATGGATAAAGAAGTTGTGAGATATATACATATATATACATACACACTCATACCCAATGGAATATTACTCAGCCATTAGAAAGGATGAATATCTACCATTTATATTGACATGGATAGAACTGGAGGGTATTATGCTGAGTGAAATAAGTCAACTGAACAAAGACAATTATCATATGGTTTCACTCACATGTGGAATATAAGAAATAGTACAAGAGACCACAAAGGAAGGAGGGGGAACTGAATGGGGAAAAATCAGAGAGGGAGAAAAAGCATAAGAGACTCTTAACTATAGGAAACAAACTGAGGGTTGCCAAAGGGGAGTTGGGTGGAGAGATGGGGTAATTGGGTGATGAATGACAGGATTAAGGAGGGCACATGATGTGATGAACACTGAGTATACTATGTACTCAAGTTGAAATTGAATTTTTAAAATTAAATTAAATTTGAAATTAAATTTTTAAAATTAAATGAAAAAAGAAATCAAAAGAAAACAAACACTAGGCTAAAAAAAATTGAAGAGAATATAACTGACTCTTACCAGGTCCCAGTTCCCAGTGGCCCAGTGACAGCAAGGCTGGCTGTTGCAGGGCGCATTGGGCGTGGGCCTTTTTGTCCAGTCACAGAGACCTCCCAGACAAGTCACCACTCGCTCCTGAACTCCGCCTCCGCAGGACCTGGAACACTGGTATATAACAGGGACAAGTTTAGGTAAAAATCACATGGTGACATTTTCAGTGATAAGGGAAGACCTTTTTATTATTTTGTTGTATGCAGTGTTCTTAAGCATATCAGTAACTATACTGGAATCTGCAGCATCTGTGCCAGGTTACTCGCAATGACCAAATAACAGTGATGAAACAAGAATTAAAGAGAAAGAAGGAAATTGATAAAGGACATTCTGAGGAGACAAGAAAAAAAATGCCACATAGTTTAAAGTAAAACAGCATGTCAAGGAAGGAATTTTGGTTAAAAACCTAAACAAGTGGTCATTCCAGAATGGACATCATGTTATTGAATAGATTATATATCCTATGAATATGTTATACATTCTTCCCTGACCTCATTCTTTAATGCTCACCCCAAACTGCTTTCTGCCTTCTGGCACAAGTATCTAGAAACCAAATGTAAAATGTAGACGTTTTTATTATTATGATTAGCTCCAATGGTCCAAACAAAGAGCATGTATTTGCAATACAGTTTTGTTCATTTCCTTTTAAAATGGCATTCAGTCTTCCCTTCCCACTACAAAAAGCTTTAGAATTTAATTTGTCCATATTCAGAAAAGGGGAATTGATAGGTTTGCCCCAGGGTCTGATACACTGACTGTAATGCTCACAAAACAAATTTGAGATGACAAGCTGGATTCCTAAAGGGATACAACTCTAAAATGTGTCAGGTTTTTGCTCACTAGTATAATTTTATAAGATCTATTGTCTCATTTTCACAAGGTTTCTAGGAGGAAATTACATTATCCACCAAGAATCTTTGAGAAGTACTTTGAAAAATCTTAATTATGATATGGTAACAACAAAATAATTATGGTTGGCAATATCTACCCATCACATCAGGCACAATATGTGTGGTGGTGCCATAGAAAACAGAGAAATTACATGTAATTAACCCATTCCGCTCAATAAAAGAACTAATCTATTGACTTCACAATATTCCAAGTTTGAGGGTCAATGTGGATTTTTCCCATTTATTCTATATGTTTTTAACCCTATATGAGGAATGAAGGAAAGGGAGCCCCCATTTGAGATCACTATGCCTACACTCATGCACAAATTCAGGGCCACCTGACTATGTAATCTCTAGGAAAGGAGGTGAAGAAAGTGTACACTAGTGATTCTCCAAGTTTGGTCTCCGGACTGGCAACCACAGCATCTTCTGGGTGCTTGTTAAAAATGCAAAATTCAGGCCTCACCCCAGACCTTCAAACTGGACACTTTGGGGGATGGGGTCCAGCCATCTGTGTATTGACAAACTCCAGGTGATTCTGAAGTGTGCTAAAGTTTGAGACATTCCGACAGCTGAAATGCATCTTCCATGCTGGGAGTCTGGGCTGGCTGACATGCCAAAGGGGCCCTCAGTATTCTCATGATGGCAGTCTGTTAGATAGTGTGTATAGGAAAAGCAGCATCTTGAGTGGTCAGGAAAAGCACCTAAGGGTGTCCATACCCTCAAAAGCTCCAGAGAAATACTTGAGTGATTTTTGCATTTTCCATTTCCTCTGCTCCCTCAGAGGGAAGTCTTCTAAACTGTGTGGTTTGCTTAGAACAGAGTACCACTTCAGAGAGGAGGGGGGTCGGAGCCCTTCAGGAAACAGCTCCTGATTGGGGTTCCCAGAATATATCATTTTCATAATCATAAAACAGATCTGATTGTTCATCTTTAAAAACCTACAGAAGGCATTTCTCTGACAAGGCTCCTCTGCAAATTCCTGGATTCTGAAAACTGTCACCAGGTTCATCATACATGGAGGACTTGGAGGCCTAAGTCCAGAGCATGGGAATAGCAGGAACTTCATGTGCTCTAGAGCTAAGCAGGTAAGGAGGAGACAGAAGGGACAGTGTGGCTGCTACCCCAGAAATCACCAGGTATTGGCCCGGAGCCTCAGGAATCAGCATGGCTTCTTGACCCTGTAGACAGGAAGTAGCTCTAGGGGGCTCAGTCTTCTGTAAGCTTTGACACTACTCTGTGTCCAATAGTTGTGGTTCACCACCTTCCTTTCCAGGGCATGTGGAAGGTTTAGTTCCCCCTCAGAGAGTTATCGATTCACTCTTCCTCCTCAGTTCACTTTTTGTTCAATGCCTATTGGGCCGATTCCTATGTTAGAAAGAACAAAAGCACTGCAGTCTGCCTTAGGCTTAAACTAATATTCCACCATTTATTTTCTAGTTGTGTGAACTCATGTAAGTTTCTTAATCTCTAGATTTCAATTTCTTCACCAATACAATGGAATTAATAAAGCCTACCATTCGGGTTGTTGTGAGCATTAAGCCAAATATTGTAGGCAAAATGCCTAGCCCATAGACATACTCAAAATAGGCTGGGTTCCTTTTTTTCTCTTCTTTCTACCACGCATGGATATGGGTGGGAGGATTTTTTTGGAGCTGTTGAGGTATTTGCCTAGTGGCAAACGAGATTATCATACTTCACCGAAGAGCAGTCACTTTGTTTTCATGTGCTGAAGTAGGACCAAGACCTAGCAGAGCCTGGGCTCTTACAAACCAGAGGACACACACACAGGCACAAACACACTTCCTTCTATTTGCGTAAACAGTGACCTGGGCATTTAACTGAGAGGTGGAACTCTAAAATGCACTGTGTGTGGAAAGGATCTGGCCATGACCCCCAGCTCAACTGCAGAGGCCTAGCCGAGACATGTGAGACCCTAACTGGTTCTTATCAGAGTGGTCCGTGTACATTTCCCCATCATGGACCCCAGTTCCCCAGTATATCCATTTGGAGACTGGATTGTGATAAAACACTGAATTGTCACAGCTGCAAGCACACAACATAGTCTTCAAGGTGGCCCGTTAGGCTTCCTCCTTACAGTGGTGGGCCCCTGAAGAGGCCAGTCATTGTCATGATGCACATGTGGTCTTCCCTGACTTCTAGACTCACAAGGTAACACAGCAATTTACATTTGCCTAGTTGTGAGGATGATGTATTTGGAGGCCATACCTGGCTCCAGGGCTCCACCTGCCACTCCTCACAGGGCTCCACGTTACAGCTCCTGCTCAGTGGGGGAGGAATGCCAGCCAGGAACTGGCAGTGAAATGGCCTCAGGCTCTGGTGATCCCGGCTGTCCACGCACTGAATCTCCCGGATCTGGAAGCCCCCGCTGCAGTTTCTGGAGCACTGGATGGAGAGGGAGACAAAAGGGGATATCTGAGTCCCTGGTGTTAGGCTTTCAATCCCCTGAATTCCACAAGCGTTTGCAGAGAACCATGAAATTCCAGGCTTCCAGTCATGAAGAAGGGTTAAGTCCAGCTCAAGTGAACTGTTTCCCTCACGGTTCCTCGAGAGGGTGTCACTGAAGCTGCATCCAAAGATGGGCCTGCCTATGTCAGAAAACACAGGTGTGGAAGTATGAGAACTGGGTTCTCAATTTTGACTGAGAGAATGCGCCAGAAGGAAAGTGTGCCCTTTGCTGTAGGTATGTTTGGCTCCCTCTATATATAGTGAAAAATTATGCTCTTTCTGGCTATAGTGGAGTAGTCATAATCACAGGGTTTTGGATAGTGAATGAAAATTCCTCAAAACTTTCCATAGAGGTACACCCTGAAGTACAGTTCCCCCTGCTTCCGCCACTTGCAGATTGTACCAAGCCACCTGACTTCAACCCTTGGGCTGTAACATAGAAAGATGCTGGCCCACGTGACAAGGGACAAACCGATGCTCTAACACTTCCATAAATTGAATGTTTAGTTTCTTAGAAATAAATGATACTCGCCAAACATCATCTTGCCCCCCCAAAAACAAATTTAAAAACCTTACTTTTCTGCCTTGTAGTAAGTACACAAAGGAAAAAGTAACTGTTTGAAATCAGCCACAGAACAAATGAGGAAGCATAATTTCCATTCAAAGCACCCACTTGTTTGCCAAACAGATTCCTGGGAAATAGCCTGTGGTAAAGCAAATGGGCTCTTTATTAGGACAAGGGAATTTTACAAGACCTAAGTATGAAATGGGATTTTATTTTCCTATTTTTCATCTGTTGCTGCAATCTTCAGCTCCAAAATTTAATTTTCAAGCTAGCATTCCCCTTTTGTTAAAGTGTTCACATTCAATGAGAAATGAACTTTATTAATATGCTGAAATAAATAATAAGGGAAGACACTCATTAAATCTATGATATTTCCATTCCATTTTTCAAAACAGCCTCTGGTTCAGCTAGCAAGAGAGAATTGGCAGGATAATTAACCACCCCACTCCAAATGCTGTTTTGCCTTGTCTGCTGAATGCCAATTATTATATTCATTTTCTTACTGCCCTAGAGGAGAGTCACTGGATTCATGTTTTCCTAACCTGGAACCTGTGGACCAGGCTGAGGACAGGAGCCAGACTAATGAGAGCAGAAACCCTGGCCAATCCCCTACTGTGACCAAATAGGCCCATTTTCCAGTTACCACCTGAGTTCAACTAGTGTGATCTGCAGACCAGATCAAGTTAAATGAAAAATACCCTTAGCTTACGGGAACCACTGGTAGAGATAAAATGAAATCTCAATTCTCCCTTGTGTAGTTTTTGATTTGGGAAGCCATCCTGATACATTTTCCACATTGGACTCACACAGAGTGTTCAGTCAAGTACAGTGAAATTCTTGAGCATATAGTTGGGAGGTCAGTAGACTGCACTCAGGTGTGACTGACAGCAAGTGGCTACCTGAGTGCGGATGAATCCTTTCTCATCTCTCAGCCTCTATTTCTCCATTGGTGTGGAAAGGAGGATGAACTAGAGGATGAAACTATCCCAACATTCTGGAGTGGTATAAAGTATGGCATCACTGCATTTGTATTCTATTTTGACTTCAGAATACTTTTTTGCTTTCCAAGTTGAACCAAATACTAAATTGGGATACAAAAAAAATTCTTTTCTGTTCATTTCCTTATGCTGAACAGATTCTTAATACCCTTATGATTAAATGGTTCATTCCAAAAACTGTAAGTTGAACAGCACCAAAAATTCATCCTTCTATCTCTTCCCCCATCACAACCCCACTTCCCTTTCTCTCAGTTATTGGGCACTTGCTAAGTTCCAAGCTCTATATTCCAATCTAACAGGAGGAGAGAGTTACATAAATGAGTAGAAGGAATGAAGATTATATACCTAATATATATGTAAAGATTACATCATAAACTATTCATGATCTAGTGAGGGCACAATGGAGGAGGTAGGCAATTTCACCTGGGAAGGTCAGGAAAGGTCTAAATTAAAGGAGCCAACGTTTGAGCTGAAACATATAGGATAAGTAGATGCTCACTCAGCTGGCAAAATAGGGTGGGGGACATTCCAAATGGACAGAATGGCATATACAGAGGCACAGCATTATGAAACAAGAAGGCTCACTTGAGAAAAGCAAGCTGGCTAGAATGCTAGGGCAAAGAGTACGGATAGACAGACAGATGGCAGGGGCCGTTGTGGAGAGCCTCCTGGTCTGGACGTTAGTCCTCACCAGAATGGTCTTGGGTTCATGCTTCCTGTGGTCCTAAATGCTTCTATTTCATTGTCATTCCTCTATTTAGGGATCCCTTAATCTAAAACCCTCAAAGGTGTCAAGAGAGGGTAACAGATCAGACATATAACAAGTTATATCAAGAATAAAATAAATGCAGTGATTTCCAATATATAATGACCTTCCTGCTACTCAATTTTGGCTTGCTGGGGACAGAGGGTCCCTTATGATATGCTGTGTTTTAACTTTTGCACATTGGACTTTAATATAGTTCCTGGGAACATGTTATATGTCAAAGTTAGGGAGGGTCTGTATTTAGCAAGAAAGGGGCTCTTTCTCTATTAAATTCCTTTCTACAAACTCAGATCTAAAAAAAATATATCACCGCCATTGACATCTATAAAATCTGATAAACACAAAGGCAAGAAGTAGAATAAGACAAAAAGACTAGCAATAGATACAAATATTTTAGCAAATATTTGAAACCCAAGACCACAAGAAAAGGCTGCCACTTTCTCTCACTTTCCAGCAAAAGTCAATTACTGCTAAAATAAAATTGCAATGTTCCCTAGGTTGGAAGACAGAACATTCCAAGAAAAAATGCTAAAATGTTTCTGATTCGTTTCAGCAATAATCAAGATCTATTAGACTTAACTATGAAAAGGGAAGTGCTCATTCTCAGAAAGCAAATAAAGGGGCTGTCAAATCGCCAGTTTACAAAACTTCAGAAAATGCAGGCATCAGGATGTTCCACCGGTGGTGAGTGGAGCTGTGGATGATGCATCGCTTTGGTGTCAAACCCAACAGAAGGCTTGTCAAACTCATTTTGTCATTTCCTGAATTTCTTGCATGACGACTCTCCCTTTTTGTTCCTCATACAAATTTTAATGTCCTGAAACTGGCATGTGTCTTACAACTGATGTACATATTTATTGTGTAGCGTTACCTTTCTTTCTGAAAAGTTGTCATTAAATTGATGATGTGTCCCCCAATGGATGGTTTCTTAAAACTGGGAGCGTTTGGTAACAGCTGTGTGATCAAGCATCAGTGATTTAAACACCCCGAGCTTTCATTTCCTCAGTGGGAATTATAAAGAAGGTCCTTACAAATTTAACAACTCCTTTTACTCTCTAATGTATCCTAGTGTGCAAGACAAATTATACAGTTACCCTAATCATGTGACCCAAGTTGAGGAGTTTCCTTTCAGCATAGTCATGATAAATCTCAATCCAATCAGATGAGCCAACACTTATCAAATAGTTCTATTCAGAAACAATTTTTGAAAATAAAAATATTTCTATAAATAAAAATTGCATATATCCATGTACACTGAATCCTATAAAACATATTTATATTGGTACATTTTCTTATGCTTGATGTTACTCAGCAAACCTGGTCCTAATACTATGTCATCAGCATTTTGAAGAAAAAAATACAGTTCTTTCAATAGTTTTACTTTTCTTTTTTCCTAGAAATGCCTTCAGTATTTTTCTAAAGAGTATATTATGGTTAATAAATTTAAAATTGGTAACAAATTTCTTTGCCTTTTTTTCTATGAGCCATGTTATTTATCACTGAAAATATATTCACTCTAAAGGTATTGATTGCAATCATACAAAATTTTAAGTGGTAATTAATATTAATTTATATATGTGTATGTGCGTTGTCCATTAAGAATTTCTTTGAGAGATATTTTACAAGATAAAACTTATTAAGTTGATTGTCTCTATTCATGACTCATTTGAAATCACAATTACTGCAATATTTTAGACCTTAATTTTGTTTCATTTTGTCCAAAATAGAAATTTTCCAATTAAAAACAAAAGCTCCATCAAAAAAAAAATAAATAAAGAAGATCCTGTGCTGGATGATAATGGAATCGATGATCTAAAGCTCTTGTGTAATGCTGGGCACATGTTAGTATCTGGCAAGTGCCAGGCCGTAAGGTAAGTCAGATTTTCCAAAGTTCATGGCCACTTTGAGCACCTTGTCTGGGGTGGACACCTGCTTGAGCCAGTCCTTCTGTCGACAGGATTTTCTCCACTGTCACCTGTCCACAAGCTTTCCACACCGAGTCCAGGAAGCCAGTGGTTAGTAAGTACCTAAGAGCCAGTCCTAACTTTTATCTGGAGCTCGAAGTTTGCTCAGGGTTTCATCTGAACAATCTTTTACCATTTACAAAGTGGTTTCACTAAAATTTTCCTTTTTGATCCTTTTAATAACTCTATAAGGTAAGTAGAGGCAGTATGATCCACTTTATTTCTCAGAGGTGAGAGAAACAAAGTTCCTCAGGTGAATGGATCAATGTCATATGCTGGTCATGACAGAACGGGGTTGCCAACCCAGATGTGCCCTATCTACCACCCGGCATTGCTTATAGGACTCAGTTCTGCAGAACTGTCTTCCCAAGTATCCTCTGGCACAATCCTAAGGACTATGACCTTGAATTTGCTTCAGACTGATGCATGAAGTGGAAGCAAGCCATTCTGAAAGACCACTTCTAGACATGGTAAAGGTAGACGTATGAAGATAGAGGCCCTATTCTACTGTCACATACACTGGAGCACGTCCACAGCAGGTGCATCAGGGACCCACGTGGTGCTGGGGACAAAGGCCAGTAAAACAACCACAACACAGAAAGTCATCACACAGGTAGGGGATTGCTGGTGAGTAACCCTGCTACCGCAGGCTCGGGGTGGTCTGTGGCAGACCCACAGTCCTATGAGAACTAAAGCATCAAAAAAAAAAAAAAAAAAGAACTAAAGCATCTTTGGATTGGGGGTGGGGATTGGGGGATAATGCAGAAGATTCAAAGGAAAATTAGAATTCTTCCCCATGAGAAAGTATCTATGAGAAGGTAAACCATCAACACCACAGAATCTAAACCCTCTGGATATTTATAGACAAGCAAAGGGCCTACTTTCCCACTCTAGGTTTTGAAAGTTTGCCTCCGAGTGAGTTTCAAAGTCCTAATAGAACAGTGAAACGAAGAAGGCCCTCAAATCTCTCCTAGTGCATGATCTGGCCTTCAGACATCCATATGAGCTGGTCAATAATGTAGTAGTTAAAAAGGAGTTACACTTAATCATCAAAATTTCAGATAAAGTCTAAGTTGTTAATATGCCTGGGAAAAATGGAAGGCAAGTACCCATAATAATAGAAACTCAGAAGTCAGGGCAGTTGACTATCAGTTGGTTAAACTGTGTCCTTTTCAAAAGTGTGAGTGATTTCACACATCTGCCCTTTCTTTGAGCTGTGCAGTTTCCAAGGAGAGGATTGTTCCCAGAGATAGCCAAGTGGAACTCTAGGACTAGTTAACATTTGGCCAAGTCAGGAATGTAAAAGGTCTCTTGAGGCTCTTCTGGATGTGAAGAGAATTTGTAGCAAAGCACTTAGTCTTTGTTGGATCTTGAGTCTGTTACAAGTTGGAAGAAAAAAGAAGAAAGAACCAGCATTCCTTCCTGAAAGAAAAATGGTGTGAAAGCAGAAGAAAGGAAGCGCGGCAGGTATCAAAGGGATGCATGGTAATCTTTTCAGGGAGTAACCCTACTGTCCCTCCCTTCTCCAGAATCGGACCCTTACTTTGGGAGGAGGAGCCTAAAGCAGATAAAGAACCAGGGATGTCCAGTGAGACATCTGGTGGTCCTGCTCATCTGGGAGTAGGAGCTCGATACTGGCCGCCAGAGCTAACATCTACAAAGGTCACCAGCCTCTCCAAACTTCTGGGTAGCTCTTTCTTTTCCCTTCTGTGTCTCAGCTGTCAAGAGAAACTGGCTGCCCAGAGAGAAGGGGGTCCCAAAGGGCATCCTAGTTGGGGTGCGCTTGGCAAACAGAAGGCGGCAAGAGGTGCCACCTCCTCCTGCCCATCAGTTGTCAACCCCACCACTGACAGATGTCCTATAGGCTGGGTATATCCCACAGCCCCAGGCTCAGCCCCAGGCCAGGTTAGGGCTGGCTAGTACCTCAAGCAGCAAGGCTGATACATCCAAAAACCTGATACAGTCTTTCACACGGGACCATATAGACAGCACAGAAAATGAGTAACCACAGCCAGATGAGCAGAGACAGTAAAATCACACTTCCAAAAGATCAGCACAGGAAATATGCTTTGAAAGACCAATTTTTTCCTTACATTTCAGCTTTCATTTCATTTTGGGTCTGGCAGATTAAAAAATACACTTTCAGGTCACCCGGGTGGTTCAGTGGTTTAATGTCTGCCTTTGGCACAGCCCATAATTCCGGGATCCTGGGATCGAGTCCTGCCTCAGGCTCCCTGCAGGGAGCCTGCTTCTCCCTCTAGGTCTCTGCCTCTCTCTCTGTGTCTCTCATGAATAAATAAATAAAATCTTAAAAAAAAAATTTGCTTAGTGAGCAGGTGCTGAGTCATGACCTAGTGATACAGGTGATGATGTATAGTTTTAAGTATAATGCTACACTTAAATAATTTAGAAATAATGTTGCATGTTGGACAAGCAATTAATCATACTAATTTAACTTCTTATTCCAGTTTATCTGAGAAGGGGAGAGTTTATAGGCAGGTAAAAACATGTGGGTTGGTCAGCCCAGGGGGGGGGCCAGCGGTTTAGCGCCAACTTCAGCCCAGGGCGTGATCCTGGAGACCCGGAATCGGGTCCCGTATCGGGCTCCCTGCATGGAGCCTGCTTCTCCCTCTGCCTGTGTCTCTGCCTCACTCTCTCTCTCTCTGTGTGTCTCTCATGGATAAATAGATTTTAAAAATCTTAAAAAAAAAAAAAAAACAACTCATGACCAATTCTTTAAAAAAAAAACCAAACACTTGGGTTAATAAAAACTGTACGTGTTCTAAGACTATGGTGTAACTTCGATTGGGCCTATGGTGATACCGGTGATTTACTCATCCACAGGTGTATAGAGAAAAAGGCAGAGGGGGCAGCAAGGGAGGAAGGGAGGAGACACACCTTAGAAAAGGTTATCTGGCTCTAGAACACTGCTGAGCCAGGTCACTTACCTTGCTCCAGTTCCCCACTTGCCAGCTGGCACAGGGACGGAGGTGGCATCTCTTAGCGGGGTCAGGCTTCTGGATGGTGGCGCAGTCAGAGTCCACGTGGGTGCTACATTGCACGCTTCTCCAGTAGGCCCCCAGGCCACAGGTGGTGGAGCACTGTGGTGGGGGAGGGGCACAGAGAGGACAGAGGCTGAGGGCCACTTTCTCAGACATACCCCGCGAGGCCCTGCAATCAGGAGCTGTCAGACTGAAATTGCTCGCAGAGCATTAAAAAAAAAAAAAAAAAAAAGCCTACCAGCGCTGGGGTCTCGCCCTGAATTTCCCTGGGTAGGGTTTAGGCATTGGTAGAAACAGAAATGCCCCAGGTGATTCTAATATACAGCCAGTGATGAGAACCCCAATCAGCACGTGACAGCAAAAGCCGAGGCCAGGGGAAATTTGCTGCTCTTTAAAATTATCCTGGTGTGAATGTCTGAGGGCTGCAGGCAAACCGCCTGTCGAGTTTTGTACCAATGGGACCCCTTCTTAGGGGACATCAGGTCCATGCATCTGCCTGTTAGAACACTGCCGTCACATCATGTCACTTGCTCCTCTCTGTGACAAACCGTGGTTAGACTGATACTGTCACTGGCAGAAGAAGCCCCTGAAGCTTGGAGAGCTGCCTGGACAAAGGAGTAAGCCTGGGGCTCTCTGCCTCCATAGTGCCGGACACCGTCTGCTGTCGCAGTTCCTCTGGGATTTTAGTGTCCATGTGCGTCACCTGGGCACCTTGCTACATGCAGATTCTGAGTCAGTAGGTCTGGGGTGGAGATTGTGCTGACACTGTGGGTCCTCAGACCATGCTTGGGGGTAGACGGATGTTACAACACGGTGCTTTTTACCACCTGCTCTGCTGGTAACGTAAGCCCGTTCCTCATATTATGTTGTTCTTTCTTTGTAATTCTCGACGACCTCAGGCTTACCATGGGGTCATGTTGAGAACTACACCCTCTCAATTTCCTTTACTCTAGGTGCTCAGTTCTTTCATATGGATGATTTTTCTTGCATCCTTTCTCCCCTGCCCACCCTCAGAAAGAGGGGCTATTGGTACACATAAGAAACACAGCTCTGGGTTTATTAAAAAAAGTGCAGAAATTCCATCTATGACATCTTTTTTTTTAAGGTTTTATGTATTTATTCATGAGAGACACAGGCAGAGGGAGAAGCAGGCCCTATTCAGGGAGCGTGATGTGGGACCCGATCCTGGGACCCCAGGATCATGCCCCGGGCCGAAGGCAGGCGCTAAACCGCTGAGCTACCAGGGATCCCCCATCTATGATATCTTTGAAAGCTCCTTTTGATGCATTATAAATAAAAACCATATTTCTCTTGCTGCAATTTCATTCTCCATATAACTTCGTGTGTCACTTTGTACAAGTTCTTGTGTTGGACACATGCATAACGAGACACAGACTCTCGGTAGATGACTTTACTGTAGAATCATAGGGAAGAGTAGGAAACAACCTAGGTCATCATTTTTCCAAGTGACTGGCGCATTTATGGAGGTAATGCCTCCTCCTGCTTAAAGATCTTTAGGATTTGGTGTGTACCTAAGTCCCCAGCACTTGCTCTGTTGTGCTGCACTATGTGGATGTGTGGTAGAGGTGGTAACCCTGGAGAGCACGGACCACTGTCATAGGTTGTTTGCCCTAGTGGCCCACACCAGACAGGCCATGCGCTCTCTCTGCAGTGGGACTTTGCAGCTCTTCTCGTCAAGCAGTGGGATACATGGCCCCGGCTCTTAAATCCAGGCTGTTCTTATTTTCTTTGGTCAGTAAGATGCAGTGGAGGATGTGCCAGTTCTCAAGAGGACCTACTAGTTTCAATTCTCTTTCTTGGACTCCTTTCTCTGCCATGACAATGAAACTGGGCTAGCCTGCTGGACGATGAGAGATCACGTGAAATAGAACCGAGGACCCAGCCGAGGCCACCCTAAACCAGGCAGCCTGCAGCCGGCCCTGCAGCCCATGCACGGCAAGCCAAGCTAAGATCGGCTAAGTTGGGCCCCAATCAGCAGAACCTCCCAGCTGACCACAGACTCAAGAACTCTGGGGTCTGGTGGTGATTGTCATCTAGCGTTACTGTAGCAGTCAGCAACGGATACAGCTACATAACAGGTATAACAGACACCTTTCCTACATTTTCTCTAACCTTCTGAGACTCAGGGTACAATTATAGTTCTGCAGTTGGTTAACTGTGCTATCTTTTGGAGGTTCCTAACTCCCTAACCCGTAAAACTCCTGATGTTATTCAGGACCACAGGGATTCATGCACATGGTCAGGACTCTACAAATGTTGCCTATTAAAGACAACAGAGCGCTGAGGTCAGGATAGTGAATCCCACTTTCCAGATATGGGGGCCCAGAGATAGAAAAATCTATTTGCTCCAACCCAGGAAAGGACCTAGTGAGACCGAATTCCCAGGCTAGTGATAACATGGTAAGGCTCAAGTGATGTCTATGATTCTTTGTGCCATATTTATGTGGCAAATAAATGTGCGTTGTCTCTGGGGCTCTGACTTTAGTCCTGCCAGATTCAGATCTCATGAGGAAACAATTTAATTCCTTTTTGACAGCTTCTGCTAAGGCAGCAAACAACAGTGCCAAGGTAAAGCTGACAGGGGGAGAGCATGGAACACAGTAGAAGTGAGATGGAATTCCATCAGCTGTCACTTGTATTAGTTTCAAAGTGGGAGTAGGGGATCAGACAGGAAAGGAGGACCCCGAGGAAGTGGAGGGACTTCACTTTGTCCTGGAAACCTTCACCCTCATTACAGCTAGTGATCTCGTGGCAGTTGATTTTCTAGGTCAAGGAGCAGATTTCGGGATGTTCAGAACTAGATCTAACAAGAAGGGCTGCATCCGAAACTCATGAGAATTGCCATGAGTGGCTATAGAAAATCATACTGTCACTTCCGCTTACACAACCACACAGCTTACACATAAATGACGGCCCGGCCCGGGGCATCTGCCTGGATAATGGGGCGATTCAATGAGAGGTGATTTTCTGACCTCATAAGAGCCACATCCATGCACACTGTGCAGCGCCTAGGTTTTCTGTTTTGTAAATAGATACCACAGCAAATACTTCCAGGGTGCTCCCTCTGTGCCCCATACTCTCCCAAGTACCTTACACATAGTTACTCCTTTTATCCCCTAATGATCTTTGAGTTGGGCATTGTCAGTGTCCTCGTTAGACAGTATGTGAGGACATATACAGTTGGTGGCCAGGCCAGGTTTCCAGCCCAGAAAGTCTGGTTTCAAAACTTTTTGTCTATTTATAGTGTTACCTTAGTCTTTATATCCATTCTCTAATTTTTGAAATCATAATCAGAAGAACATGTTGTGTACAATTGGGAGCATGAGCAGCCCTTCCACACAGGACAGAAAGTAGGAAGACACTGTGAGCACAGCTTTGGATCAAATGATAAGGAACTTTAGAAATTACTTCTAATCTTAAGGATCAGGAGAGGCTTTCTGGAAGAAGCAACTCAAAGCTCGCTCCTGAAGATCAAGGCGGGATTCACAAGGGTAGAGGAGATGGGTAAGAAAATTCGAGGCAGAGGGAACAATGCAAACAGCGGCACGGTGCTGAGTGGGACAGGAGGCTGGGGAAACCGAGCAGTTTGGATCTGGGGAAGCTAATGATGTTCACCATCATTCTCAAGGTTCTCAACGCTGCGTTACGTAACGTCGTAAAGGCTATTGGATGTCAGAGTTGATTTATCTGATTAATGAAGAAACAGTAAACAGTTTGTGAGCAGGAGTTTGGAATGATTAGCAAATTCCTTTGAAGACTAATTTGGCAGTCTTACATCTCTCATCTCTCGTGATGGTGTGTGAAAGCATTGCCCAGGGGAGAGACTGGAGGTGCGCAGGCCAGCGAGGAGCCAAGAGCAGTAACTGAGGGTCCTCCTTTCTTGACTACTGGGGCACCACTGGCATTTTGGACTGGACAATTCTTCCTTATAAGAGACCTCCCTGAATGTCACAGGGTTTTCATTATCTTTGGCTCTCGGATACCAAATGTTGGTGGCAGCCCCCTGCCCCCATCGCCGTAACAAACAAAAGCATCCCAGTCTTCTCCAAGTGCCTCTCACCATTAGGTTGGAAACCACTGGCCCTAAACTAACCAGGAAATAAAGAGGAGATATCAGAGTTTGATGAGCTGACACTGACTTGATAAACTGTTTGGGTCTTTATAGAGGGCTTGGGGAAGACTGATCTCAGTGGGGAGAGAAAGAAACAGCTTCAGAAATGGACAATATAAAAATCACAGGACAGTGGGAAAGCCAAAGTTTTCATTCTGACTCCGGATCCTCTCTGACAATTCTGTGTACTAAACATTTGGTCTCAAAAGATGCATAAAGGGGGCGGGCACCAAACCCTATCATAAAGGGAATTTCTGCTAAATGTCGCACTCTGTTCTAATAATATCCTTTGCTGCTCTGAGAAACTGCAATCTGGACCAATTCCCTTTTTCTGGTCAAACAACCTGGAATTAACAGCTCTCAGAGGCTTTACTGGGGTTGCCAAATTCTTAGTGAGCCATGATGTATTTCACAAGACAGTTTATGTCTATCAAAGTCAAATGATGACATTTGAGATAAATCAGGTATCAGTGAACTAACTTCTGGCCTCCACAATCATCAGAACTAACATATACTTTTACTTTGGTTTGGTTTTCAGGTCCACTTTGCTTTATGCACAGATAATGCATTTTTTACAAATTGAGTAGAGTCAAGTTAGAAGGGTCATCATCCAACTGACAGTTGTGTCCTTAGGCAAGTCACTTGACTGCCACAACTTTATCTTCCATTTGCAAACTGGCGTAAATGAGACCTTATCTGCTCCTCAGGGTTGTCAAAAGGAGAAAATAAAAGGCTAGATATGAAAGTGGTTTGGAAATCAATATGCCTTATAAATTAAATGTACTGTAGTCATATTAGCTGCAAATATTTCACTTCTCTTTGGCCAGGGAGAGGAGCCATGGATTGTCATAAAGATGCTGACTACTTTGAACATGTGGTTATTTTGCCACAAAGTCCTCTTTTGAGTCGTCAAATTATTTTAACAAGTTCATAGACTGTGCATTCAAAATTCAAATGGGTGAAAACGATTTTGAAGCCTCAAAAGGATACTAATTAGTTCTAGAAATGGAAAAACAAGTATCTAGCCAAATTTCTGAAGCTTGAACCCCGGGGCCAACATTCTGTCGTCATATTTATTTTCTTCTTCCTTCATATTCTAATTCTTTTAATGAGCCAGAACGATTTTTTTTTTCATGCAAGCACTCAAACAGACCAAAGAGCAAAGAAAACCGCTGATAACACCGAACTAGAGAATGCCTTTAAGGAACTGTACCTTCAATTTCCACTCTAGTTAGGATTACCTCACAGTTCTAAACCAGAGTCCCAACATCAGCTTTCTTTTCTCTTTTCTTTCTTTTCTCTTTTCTTTCTCTTTCTCTTCTCTTCTCTTCACTTCTCTTTTCTTTTCTTCCTTTCCTTTCCTTTCCTTTCCTTTCCTTTCCTTTCCTTTCCTTTCCTTTCCTTTCCTTTCCTTTCCTTTCCTTTTCCTTTCCTTTTTCCTTTCCTTTCCTTTCCTTTCCTTTCCTTTCCTTTCCTTTCCTTTCCTTTCCTTTCCTTTCCTTTCCTTTCCCTTCTCTTTCTTTTTAATTTTCACTTAAATTCAGTTTCCCAGCACGCCTGGGTGGCTCAGCAGCTGCGCATCTGCCTTCCTCTGTGGGCGCGATCCCGGGGTCCTGGAATCGAATCCCGCATCGGGCTCCTTCCTGCTTCTCCCTCTGCCTGTGTCTCTGCCTCTCCTCTCTCTCTCTCTCTCTCTCTCTCTCTCTCTCTCTCTCTGTGTGTGTGTGCCTCTCATGAATACATAAAAAAAATCTTAAAAAAAAATAAAAAAACAAATTCAACTTGCCAACATACAGCATACCACCCAGTGCTCATCCCATCCCTCATGTGCCCTCCTTGGTGCCCGTCACCCAGTCACCCCATGCCCCCACCCACCTCCGCCTTCTGCAACCCTTTGCTCCCCAGACTCAGAGGAGTCTCTTAGGGTTTGTCTTCCTCTCTAATTTTTTGCCGACGTCGGCTTTCTGAGCGCGATGCCCCCGCGGGCCCTCTGGGCGGCTCGGCCGCTGCAGGAGCGCGGGCGGTGGTCTACACCCGCTCGGCCGCCCTGGGGTCGGCAGCGGGACTCGCCCAACCCTCCCGGCTCGGGTCACTGCTGCCCTCCCTTCATCTCACCGCCTCCCTCTGGGTGAGGACCCCGCCTGCCGGGCCGTGTCCCCGCGGGGGCCCCTACCTCACTCCAGTTCCCCGCAATCCAGTGCGCGGAGCCGCCGCCCTGCAGGAGCCGCTGGTAACCGGACGCGTTGAGCAAGAAGCCCTCGGCGATCAGGGCCTCCGCGTCGGCCTCGGCCAGGCCGGGCCCGGGGCTCCGCGGCGGGGGGGCGCTGCGGGGGGCCGCTGGCCCGGGGCCTGCGCGGGGCGCGGGGGGGCGCGCTGGCCTCCCGGGGCCCGGCGCCTCGGCTGGCGGCGGAGCGGGCCCTGGGTCGGGGCCGGACGGGGCCCGCGGGGACGCCGCCCCGAGGGACGGCGTTGGGGGCGCCCCAAGGGGCATCTCCGCCCCCGGCGCCCCCGGAGCATCCTCTGCGGGAGCTCGGGTTTGGGTCCAGGCGACCGAGTGGTTTTCACTTCTGTTCTCAGACTGTTCGCCGCCTTCCCCGGAGCCGCTGTGAGCGTCCCCTCCTGCCTCTTTGGCCCCGGGGCCGTAGGCGGGGGTCACCTGCCCCCACGCAGGCGCGCCGGGCCGCGGCCAACGGGAACCGCCCACCGTCGCGGCGGGAAAGTCTCCCTCGGAGGTGGGACCCGGGTCCCAGGCGGGGACGCTCGCCTCGCGCGGCTGGATGCTCGGGCGGGACGCGAGGGGGGGCCGGGCGCCCCCGGGGGCCGTGGGGGGAGGCGGGATGCGCGCCGCCCGGGCGCTCGTGCTCAGGGACTCGGGCCCCGGCGGTGTGGACGGCGACCCGGGGCTGCGAGGAGTCGGAGGGACGGGCTCCAGGGTGGGCTCCGGGGTGGGCTCCGGGGTGACCTTCGGGATGGGCTCTGGGGTGACCTTCGGGGTGACCTTCGGGATGGGCTCCGGGCTGGGCTCCGGGGTGGGCTTCGGGCTGGGCTCCGGGCTGGGCTCCGGGGTGGGCTCCGGGGTGACCTTCGGGATGGGCTCCGGGCTGGGCTCCGGGGTGGGCTCCGGGCTGGGCTCCGGGCTGGGCTCCGGGCTGGGCTCTGGGGTGGGCTCCGGGATGACCTTCGGGCTGGGCTCCGGGCTGGGCTCCGGGGTGGGCTCTGGGCTGGGCTCCGGGGTGGGCTCCGGGCTGGGCTCCGGGGTGACCTTGGGGATGGGCTCCGGGATGGGCTCGGGGGTGGCCTTCGGGGTGACCTTCGGGATGGGCTCTGGGATGGGCTCCGGGGTGGCCTTCGGGATGGGCTCCGGGATGGGCTTTGGGGTGGCCTTTGGGATGGGCTCCGGGATGGGCTCCGGGGTGGCCTTCGGGGGCTCCGGCTTGGATGCCGACGGCTTTGTCCCACTGGAAATCGCGCCTTTGTTGGGCTTCAGGACTCTGCGGCTGGACGGGCACTGCTGGAGCCCACAGAGGGCTCGGCTGTTGGGTTTCCTGGTCACATCGCAAGGTTCATCATGGTTCTTGGCACACGTGACGCTGCGGATCCGCACTCCACCACCGCAGGACACGGAACACTGGAAAAGAGACACAGCTGTGAGTTTCGTGGGACTAGAGGTGCCGGCCCTCACGCACGGGTTCATCTATTCACGAGAGACACAGAGACACAGGCAGAGAAGGAGAAGGGAGCTCCCTGCGGGGAGCCCGATGCGGGACTCCATCCGAGGATCCCAGGATCACGACCTGAGCCAAAGGCTGACACTCAACCACTGAGCCAGCCGGGGAATCCCTCTCACACTCAGGTTCACAGCAGGTGAGCTGGAAACAGAACTGTGCCCGCCAAACTTGTTTTCTCCCCTCTTTACATCTGGTTTCCATGCTCCTCTAGTTTTCTTTTTTTTAAAGATTTTATTTATTTATTCATGAGACACACACAGAGAGAGAGAGGCAGAGACACAGGTAGAGACACAGGTAAAGACACAGGCAAGGGGAGAAGCAGGCTCCATGCAGGGAGCCCAACATGGGACTCGATCCTGGGGCTCCCGGGCACGCCCTAGGCCGAAGGTGGCGCTAAACCGCTGAGCCACCCGGGCTGCCCCCCTCCTCTAGTTTTCCATGGAAATATCTATCTCCTCGAGACCACATGGGGCTCAGAACCGCCCACTTACTCTCTGCAAACTGAAGATACAAACCACAACACAGTAAAACTGAAGTCTCCCTGGGCTTTGAACACGGGACAGTGAATTCACAGAGAGTACAATGATGCATACCAGACACCTACTCAAGAGATAGGAATATTATCTTTTCTAGGGTTGGAATGCTGTTCGATTACATCAAATATTTATACATTTTCTGGAATCTACTAAGTTAGTTATAAAAAACCTTCCCCTTTATATTTAGAAAACACTCAGTATAACCAATGTAGTCTCACCCAGGCACAAAGGCTCCATTTCCACTTGCCTGTGTCAGGTGCAATCACATTAAATTAAGCCGGACAACTATCACACCCACACATCAACACAGATCTGGGACCTCTTCTGAGATTTAAAAAAAAAAATTCTTTAATTTTTAATTTTTTAAAGGTTTTTATTTATTTATCCATGAAAGGCAGAGAGAGAGAGAGAGAGAAAGAGAGGCAGAGAGAGAAGCAGGCTCCATGCAGGGAGCCCAATGCGGGACTTGATCCTGCGATTCTGGGATCACGTCCTGGGCCAAAGGCAGATGCTCAACCACTGACCCACCCAGGTGTCCCCCTATTCTGAGATTTAAAGGTGGGTAGTTAATCAAAGGTAGAGAGATCCCCTTTCCAAAGGGTGAGTCCTGTAGCATGGTGCTGATATGAGGGGTCACAGCTGGTTCCCCTTCCCCCCATGTGCCCTCCACATTCTACGGGGCATGGCAAAAAAGCACAGGCAGCTGGAGTGTCTTCAGAGGAATCCTAACAGGATGGTTCTCCCTCAGGAATCACGCTAAAGAATCTACTTCCTCAGTCTCAGCAGCTGCAAATCATATGTAGTTACTACATAACAATTTCTAGATGTTTTGAAAAATCTATACTTTTAGCAGACAGCTCCATGTTTACCTTTTCTTTCCAGTTTCAAGTCAGCCACCAAATATATTGCACTAGGATATAAACCATCCAGAGGCCTTCACTGGCTGTTTCACATCTGTCTATCTTCTCTTCCTGACCTTGAAGCAGGTTTTTGAGGATGGGGATTGCATACTTCTTGACAGATCTCAAAGGGCTCAGAGCCATTCTTGTGTGTGGTACTCACAACCGCCCCGTGAGACCTAACGAGGCCGGAATTATGATTCCACCCTCCACAGGAGAGGAACCTGAGACTCAGGGAGGGACTTGCTTAAAAGGCTGCAAGTCAGTGGCAGAGTAAGAATCCGATTTATTTCATAGCCTCATGAAATCTAGTGCGACACACAGAACAGGTGGCCATCTGCTGATTTCACCTCTTGACCTGACCACAAACTCAATTTCTGAAAAGCTACCCAAAGGCAAGAACTGTTTCTGAATCATAACTGAATTCCAGGATTGTTCTTGGGACACAGTGATCACTCAATACACATTTATTAAGTGACTATTTCACCAAAAAACAAACAAAAATATGGAATGGGAAAATTCTTCTGTGAGGTTAGGCATTTTTTAGCTTATGTTTCTTGCCTTCTCAGGTCCTATTTTCAATTTCCACTGTGTAGGAAATAATATGGCTGTATAAAGACCCCCCTTCGTTTTGTTCCAGTCAAGCATAATCCCTCCCTGATGCCTGATAGCTGTGAAATCAGCTCTTCTGAGAAACAGGAGATGCCTGTCAGCCCAGGAGACCGCGCAGCTGAGAGCATGTTCCCCTGCGGGTTGAGGTCACCTTCCTTTGGAGCCTGGCAAGGGCAGGCTGGGGGAGTGACTTGCCTGGTTAACTACAGTACTTCTGCCTTCTTGTGTGTGAAGGGGCTTTAGGCCCTGTCCGGTTCGTCCTGCTGTGCTACGTGCCTCGGGCAGCCTGGGTTTTGAGAGCTGATCCATGAAAGAGGCCCTGGCTGATGCCAACTGTCCTCAAGCAGCAGGTGTTCCTCCCTTCGGGTTTTTCTTTCTAGGGAATGTCAGAGTAGACAGCTACATGGCAGGAAGGTCTTTGATTTTTTTCTTTCTCTTCAATTTCTCCAATTTTTTTCTTTTTTTTTACTTGAAATGCTTATAATGTCCACAGGGAAGTTAGAATTCACAACTTTACATGCATTTAAAAGTATGTAGGTGTATGCCCTCCACCCCTACGTTGAACTGTGAAGCTCAAGAGCTATAAAAATACCCACCATTTGCTTCGACGTGGATGGACCTGGAGGGTATTATGCCGAGTGAAGTAAGTCAATCGGAGAAGGACAAACAGTGTATGGTCTCGTTCATTTGGGGAATATAAAAAATAGTGAAAGGGAATAAAGGGGAAAGGAATAAAAATGAGTGGGAAATATCAGAAAGGGAGACAGAACATGAGAGATTCCTAACTCTGGGAAACGAACTAGGGGTGGTGGAAGGGGAGGTGGGCGGGGGGTGGGGGTGACTGGGTGATGGGGACTGAGGGAGGCACTTGATGGGATGAACCCTGGGTGTTTTTCTATATGTTGGCAAATTGAACACCAATAAAAAATAAATTTATATATATAAAAAAAAAAACTTGTAAGAAAGGGCAGCCCTGGTGGCTTAGCGGTTTAGCGCCCCCTTCAGCCCAGAGTGTGATCCTGGAGTCCTGGGATCGAGTCCCACGTCAGGCTCCCTGCATGGAGCCTGCTTCTCCCTCTGCCTGTGTTTCTGCCTCTCTCTCTGTCTCTAATAAATAAATAAAATCTTAAAAAAAAAAAACCTATAAGAAGTAAGGTGAACTCCCCCAACCTGCCATTATTAATTAACTGCACACAGCATAGTGACTACACCTCAGCTTTCTCCTCTGGAAATGGAAGTTAATATTAACCTTTCAAGGCTGCTGTGAAGATTACATGAGGCAATAGTCTTAACCCCGTGCACAATAGAGAGAAGACAACTGGCAACTGGAGGTTCTTATTATCACTTTATAATAATGATGCTGATAATAATAATAACAACAACAACAACACAGGGCTTGGGGGCCTGTGGTTTCTACTGTTCTTGTGGAGCACAGGGGCACACACCTGGCTGTGGGAAGCTATGAGGTGAGCAGCCGCTTGGGTGAAGGACTTGCAGGCACATATCTAGAAGATACTGTGGATACCCATACGTCCCACTGGTTTATTGCTAGATTTTTTTTTTTTTTAAGATTTAGATTTCCTAAGGTTAACAGAGGGACACATATGTATTTTTTAGAATTCATAAATTACAAGTATTAAATAACCTTATTTACTGTGTGAATTTGCTCAACCTAAAAGAATAAAACAGTGGTAAATAATAGCTTGTTGTTTAGTCGAAACATTTTAGATTTTGAGCTTTCAAAACTGAGGGTTAAAAAAAAAAAAACAAAACAAAAACAAAAAACAAAGAACAAAAACCTGAGGGTTATTCTAGAACAGAGATTCCAAAGTGGCAGCCTCAGGACTAAATTTGACCCTCAAACATGAATTCTTTGGTCTGTTCAATCTCTCTCTTTCTTTCTTTCTTTCTTTTCTTTCTTCTTTCTTTCTTAATTTCTTTCTTTCTTCTTTCTTTCTTTTCTTTTCTTTCTTTCTTTCTTCTCTTCTTTCTTCTTCTTTCTTCTCTCTTTCTTTCTTCTCTTTCTTTCTTTCTTTCTTCTTTCTTTCTTTCTTTCTTTCTTTCTTTCTTTCTTTCTTTCTTTCTTTCTTTCTTTCTTTCTTTCTTCTTTCTTTCCCTTTCTTTTCTTTCCTTCTTTTATGGGGGCAGGGGAATGAGAGGGAGAATCTCAAGCAGGCTTCATTACCAGCAGGGAGCCTGACATGGGTCTCGAAGTCATGATCCAAGACAAAATCAAGAGTCAGATGCCTAACTGACTGAGCCACCCAGGCACCCAGGCTTGCTCAATCTTCAAACAGACGAAACACAAAAACTCAATTAGTAGCCAACATTTAAAAAAATAAGCAGATTTCATAATAAAATTCCAGATTCTACTCTCTCTGTCTCTCATGATAAATAAATAAAATCTTTTTAAAAAAGGAAAGAAAGAAAAAAAATAAAATAAAAAAAGGAAAGAAAATAAAATTCCAGATTTTAATCTCAAAAAAGCAGATGATCTGCAAGTACTGGTCCCATTCCCAAATGGCAACTCAAAACTTCATTCATGGAGACCTGGGTCTGGGAGCAATTTATGTGTTTTCCAGAACACCTATCTTTCATCCCCACGTGCTTTCCTTACCCAGTAGACCCAGAAGCTTCCAATTAGCCCAGGAATGTGATTCTTTAGCACCAGGGCACATTGTGCCCAGCAGGAGAGTGTTAATTATCTACCAACTTTGGGGGGCCAAAACCAAAGTTGCCTTTTCTAGCAGTCACGCTGGAACAAGCAGTGCTATTTTGTACTCTGCCCCATGCTTCTTCCAACACACCTTCCAACTGTGTTTATCTCCTTAGGAGCTGTCAAGCCCTGCAGAT